GGGGGCGCAGCCCGGACAGCCGACCCAAGCTGACCTCTGTTGGCGTTTCATGCCATCACGTGCTGCGCTGGCTGGGGGCGTCTCGCTGGGGCTCTGGGTCCCACTGCTCGGGGACTGGCTGGGCGTTGGTGGGCCGGTGGTGAGCAGCTGTATCCCTGGTTTCGTTTCCATTCTTCTCATCACATATGCTTAGTGGTAATACCAGTATTGTTAGTATCGTTAGTGTCATTAGTGTCATTGTTTAGCTGGGTCAGAACCAGGATAATTGCACTTTTCTGACTGTCTTGGTGCCATTCTTTTGAAATGGCTCAAAAGTGATCCCTGGGTTTTTATTCCTATTTTATTTGCTGACGTCTCTAGGTTCAACTTCAGTACAACCATCTTTCCCTTCCTTCCTTCCTTCCTCAGTAGTCCCTTTCCTGGACACACCTCTGTGCCTTCTGTCACCCCGTCACACTCTGCTAGTCCCACTGTGATCTGTTTCTGCTGTTACTAAGCCTTAGCCCAGACTCACCCTCTTCCTTCCAGATACGAGTTGCTTCAGAGGGGATTAATGGGACAGTTGGAGGAAGCACAGCAGCTACCAAGCTCTACGTTGAAGTTATGCTTTCCCAGCCTCTGTTCAAAGACGTTTTGTGTCAGGAGGATTTCAAGGTATGAAAAACTGACTTCTGCCTAGAAATTGTTAATGCAGGACATGTAATTTTGGAGAACTAAGCACACTGCTCCTTGCTAGTATTCCTTCTGCTCCGGCAGGTCTGCTCTCCCAGCACCGATCTGTCGCAGGTTCCCACCCTCACCTTGTTCAGGTGTCTGTGCCAGTTCTCACCAGCAGCGGTAGCAGCTGCTGCCAGCTTTGGCCGCTGTGGGTGCGGCTGCAAAGCCCCCCACGCAGGAGAAGGAAGGCGTGTGCTTCACCCCACCGTGCTTCAGCAAGCACGTACTCCCACCTGCCTGCCAGAACCAAGCCATCACTGGGTACCCGGGCAAACCCTTCCCACGCTCTTCACCCCACGCTGAGATCCTCGCCTAGGAGCCTGCTGGGTAGCTTCCTGCCGTTGGTGTCCGTGTAGGTGCACCGCCAGCTCCATGAACCGGGTGTCTTTAGAGGAAACAGGCAGAATCAAGGCGTTTCTCCCTACTCCTGACTGGAGGGAGGGGGAAGTGCCAGCCTCTGCCCGAGCCGCAGCATTTGTGCCGATGGCCGTCTTCAGATGGGGATGGCGGTAGCAGCTGCCACTGGCTGCCATTCTGGTAGACTTTGCTGCCCCAGCACCGCAGGTCCTGGTTTTTCTGTGAGGAAGGAAAGCTGCTGCTTTTACAGCATTTTTTCTTTTCCACACAGTTTTATTTGCAGGGAGCACTATTTTTTTCCCCAGAAATAACTAGATTGGAGGCATTAGTGAAACGCGTGGAACTCAAATCCTGTGTAGAGCTGCAGGGCTGATTCAGTCTCAGCCTTTGAACTGTTGTGCTTGGCTGAATTTCGGGAGCAAATGTGACCTGTTAGTTACAGCCATGTGTAGATGCAGCAACAGAACAGGGATGGGATGTCACCTTGACCGTGCCCAAAGCTCCAACCCCGCGTGATCTCCCTGGGCATCAGCGTTCACGCATTAGTACACAACGGTGTTGTCTGTCTCCTGGTTCCCACGCACGCTGTGTAGCAAAGGAAATGGAGGTTGCAGGTCCCTGTGCCATGAAGACATGGGCGTAAGGGAGTAAAAATTGCACCCAGGGCTATCAAAATACTCTGTGGCCGCCGCAGTTGCTGCAGACTGGTTTCTGCGGTAGCGGGGACGGTGCTGCACAGCACTGCCCTTGCGTGTGGGTGTTCATGTGCTCAGCAGTGCCTGGGCCACGCTTGAGGCTCAGCCCCGCAGAAATTATCCCGTCCTGTCGCCTGCAGCGGGAGTACCTTGCCCCCGTTGGGCTTGCCTAGGCCTCCAAAGGGGAAATCCTGCACTTGAGCTGGGAGGGGGCAGTGTCAGACCCCACTGTTAACGAGTCTCGAGCCTGGCTGACCTCCTGTGTATCTCGCACCCGTGCCGTTCCCGTCGCACACGCGACTGCAGGCCTGGCTATGCTTGTGTCAGGTGTCGGAGGGGCTGAAGAGAACGGCGGGGATCCATTGCTGGAGGAAGTTACTTCATATTCCTGTCAGGGCCGTGGCCTTCTCACAGGGGTGCTAGTGGCATCGTTTCTAAGATGCGTTCCCTTTCCCAGTCCTCGGTGACTCCGCACCTCACGCCAGATGGTGCCTGCCGCAGCTGCACCAGTCGCTGGGCCTACGACACCCGTCTGCCACATCACAGTAGGCCCAAACCTCAGGGTTTAGTGTGGATTTCAGCGGGAGAGACGTTTCTTTCCCTCTGCCGCCAAGACGCTTCCGTGCGCTAGCGAGCGGTAGGAAGGGCAGTGAGTGGGCAGTTGTGACCTTGACTCCTGGCAGATGGTGGTGGGTTCTTTCTGTCTTCAACTTCCTAGAGCAGTGCCGGAGGAGCTCACTGTTTCCCAGACCTTCGAGTTGGAGTATTCAAAGAAATTGTACCTATGGGCATTGATCCAGCAACGGTGTCTTACAAAGAAACGGGTAAGTTGAGTTTATGAAAAATAAAGCCTCCTCATCAAATGAAGTACCTTCATCAAAAACATCTCCTTCTGCACAGTGGCCAGGACACGGGAGAATTAGGTACGGGAAGTGATTTACTAGCAGTCAAAAGTTGCTGCTGCAGGCAGTCTGCTGGCCTGGGTTTTGGTTTGCTAAATGTTTAGCTGCCTCAAAAAAGCTTTAGAATTACGTTTCTGATCTGTGGGAAACAGTTACGGTTCAGATGACCAAGTTACCTTGTTCTGGGGCAGGGATTCAGCCAGGAGGAAGTCGTTGGACGCCTGCTGTGTACGAGGGTTGGGAACGACACTTCGGAGCATGAATTCTTTATATTTGTTCTAAGTACTCCGTAAGGGCTTGAGACTGCTCAGAAATGATGCCATGTGAAGACCTCCAGTGCGGATAGCTTGCAGTAGGAACTAAGCATGGTGGGAAGAGCTTCCCGTGGAGTTTTCTTACGGCTCCAGCGGATTCTGCTGCGGTGGATGCTGAGAGCTTTTGTTTGGGCAATTCCACCACACCACTGAAGCTTGCAGCTGAGTAAACCTGTGCTCGGGACTGCTGGCGTGGCTTTACTGGCGTGGAGTTAACAGCCCCGCTCCTGCCTCTCAGGCCGCAGCAGAGCAGCTTTATCCTCTCCCCGACACATCTGTTTCCCGCTGCCTGTAGCCGCTTAGCAGGGATTACGCCCCGTAGGGTGCCACTGGCTGCGCGCCTGCCTCGAGGACACTTACGTAGGTGGTAAGCAGGAGCACTGAAAATAGCACTATTTTGGTTTTTTTCCCCACCAAGAGGTTTTGCTGGTGGTAAATTTCTACAGCGTCTTTTTGTGGCTTTGGCAGAGGATTATTTTTTCCCCATTTTATGGCAGTTTGTGGGATGGATGGTCCCCCCCCCCTCTCCCCCCCCCCCTTCTTCCCCTTATTTTACCGCATTTTATGGAGGTGGTTCCCATTACTCTGGCAGGTTGCTTGCAGGGTTATTTTTAAATGAAGTTTGGGTGGGGGAGTTTTTTAATTTTGCAGTAGGTTGTGAGTCCTAAGCTGTGAGCAAGCTGAGAAACTTCATGCAACTTGAAGTTGCACTGAAAGTATTACATTCTTACGGAAATTGTCCGTTTTTATCAACAGAGAAGGGTTTCATTGAAAGAAACTGCATTTCTGTATGCTTCTGAACCTCCAAATACAATGAAAGATGACCAAAGGGAAGGGAAACATTTTTCACCCTTGTACAGCTGTAAGAGTTGCCAGGGGGACGTAACAAAGACCAGAGACAGGCACCCGACTGCTGCTGCTTCTGTCACGTGGAACAGTGTTGTGTTTTCTGTCATTTGCCAATAGGAAGCCAAACATGGATAAACTTGGCTGGTGGAGTTGGGATGAAAAGTCTGTGAACTGTCACAGGGAATTTTTGTTTGGAAATCTGAGGAGAATCTGGATTGTTTTGTAGTTCTGCTTCTCACGTATTTCTTTTATTTTCTTTTTAACTTTTTTTTTCTTCTTTTCTCTTTTTTTTTTTTTGTTAAAGGAATCCATTTATCCCCTCAGGAATTTCACAGAGAAGTAGAACAGTATTTGTCTCAGGCCAGCCAAGGAGAGAGCGATACCATCCTGCTGGACTGCAGGAACTTCTACGAAAGTAAAATAGTAAGTGTTGTGTTGTTTCCCCGCTTCTTGCAGCGTGTTACAGGTGCTGGGGGGAAGCATGGTGAGGGTGTAACCTCACTGGAAGGAAAGATTCCATGTTCCAGATGGGCTGTAGCATGTGCAGAGTTCACTCTAGTAGCAAATGTTGCACCCAAGCAGCAGAGGACCTGCTCAGCCACCCGGCACAGAGCCTGCCTGCCCAAGTGCTCGTACAGCTTGGGGCAGGAAGAAGAGGAGTGCTTCCTACAACGTTAGCAGTGAACACCGTGTAGTTTGAAGTAAAAGCAGCATAATTTGTAAGGATATTTTTCAGCATTCTCGCCTTGTCCCCTGTGTCAGAAAGAGGAGGGGAATCCTGCTGTCGTATCCACCTGCACTGCTGTGGCTCTCTGACAGCTATATTCTCCTTAACTCCCTCTCTTATGTTTGGATGAGGAGACATGCTGTGTCTGGAATCGTCTTACAGACTTTAACGGGTATTTTGATGCACGGACGCAGCCAGGGAACCGCCTAAAGCAGCTGCAGCAGGCTTAGTGTCCTGGCCCAAACCTTCCTCTAGTTGGAGGCACAGATCTTCCCATGTAAGACGCTTGTGACCATCTGTTGTTACTGCAGGGACGTTTCCAGGGCTGTCTGGCCCCAGATATCAGGAAGTTCAGCTATTTTCCCAGCTACGTCGATGAAAACCTGGAGATTTTTAAAGACAAGCGTGTCCTCATGTACTGCACGGGGGGGATTCGCTGTGAACGGGGCTCGGCCTACCTACGGAGCAAGGTGAGATGTCATCCTGAGGGCACCAGTGTCGAGGGCAGCTGTCTTGTCTTTGGCTGGTAAATTCCTACCAAGCACAACCTGCTCAGTTAGCTGGTGGGAGATGAGAAGAGGTAACTCTGCCGTGCCCGTTGCAGGGGGCTTTTAGGAGGGCTTGAGAACATGCTGCAGTGTTTCCACAAGCTCTGTGGTCATTACTGCGCAGCTTGAGCACCCCAGAGTGGTGGAAATGGGGCAGTCAGTGCTTTCCCAGTGCTGTGGAATTAAATCCAGCACACTGTGTTGTTGTAATGGTACTTTCCATCCCACTCTTCTCCTGGATCCTTCCCTCAAGGAGCAAGGGAGCAGCAAACTCACATGTTCTCTAGAGATTTAAAC